GAAGAAGATCGAGTCGTGTTTGTATTCGTATGCTTGGCTGAGCTCAGTAGTCGAAGTCTCGGTCCTCTCGGTTTATCATTTAAAGAACCATCCGCGGTCGTTGTGCGTAAAGGCCCAAGGCTCGCATCGGGGCAGGAGACTGCCGTCATTGAGACATATGTGCGGTGGACTCGATGCGACGACGGTAAGGAAATAGCCAGCCAATTCCGCGGTGCAGCCTTCGTGGATTCAGTGTTCGAGACTTTGAACAAGAGGGTCTCACTTTTCAGTGCACGCGTCGAAAATATTTTGTTTGAGGACTATGTAGTCTCTGTTACTGAGTGCTAAACTGAATTTGATTTTTTGCTACGGAAATCACTTTGTTGCATTTTAGTGCGATACATGACATCTCCTTCCATTGCGTAGATACACCTCTGTATTGGGTAGACTCGTACTTCCAGAAGCAGAATATTCACAAACTCGTCCAGAGATTTGAATGACTGCACTAGAACTTCATCGCTCAACTGCATTAAAAGGAAAGCATGAGCACCGCCAGAACATTAGATCACGATAAGCCCAAGCGTCTTGTTTACTTATATAAAGTACCGTTCTAAAATGTGTGGACGTAAGCTTAAATGAATACCATCCATTCTGGCTCATTTTTTTATACGAGGTAGTTTTCCTCATCTCTATGGTATGAGACGCTCGTCTGCAGCACTATAGTACTATGAAAGGCCGTTTTAATACCGGTAGTTTCAACACCACTTAAATTAGAACGACGTCTCAAACAAGATGCTCGTCTAGTGGCCAAAGTCAACGGTGAATTTTATGAAGACAGAATTAGAACCCGCTGCTTTTGTGCATTCTTATAGAAACAATCATCTTCGAGATTTACCTAGGCTAGTCGCAACCAAACAATGGAATATACTAACGAAATCTAAGTAACGAACGGAGATTCGATAGAATTATGCTCCTGTTCCAGGCTTCGCGAACCAGAACCCACCATGAGTTTTAAATCTGTAATCCCTCTCCCTTTACGGACCAATGTGGTTACTTTGACTAGAAATTCCGTTTCGGATCCTCCGCCTAATAGAGTCTTCCAATTATGAAAGTCGATTTTTTTCGCCTTCTCGTTCAGTGCCAACACATACTGCACATAGGTACTGAACGCGGCAGCTTCGAGTACTTCAGCAACAGAGAGTCTATCCAAGCCGAGATCTTTCAGGCCTTCGTTGTAGTAGCTTGTTCCTTGAGCCAACCAGCAATCTTGAACTGTTCGAAGATCTTGAAAGTTGCGTGTTCCATCAGAGCTATATCTGATAACTCGTTCAGTTTTAGCTTGGTCAAGACGTAGTCGTCAGTCTTTTTTGCCTTAACCCAGGATTTGATCCTCATTTTGTGAGACTGGACTCCATAAACGATGGTATTATTATGCCCCTATTCTCATCATCGTTTCTCTCGAGCGCACGAAGGAGCCTTCCACCATCACCACTCGCGATGCTTCGTGGTGTGGTCGACCACTTCAGCGTTTGTAATCGAACCCAATAGAGCAACTACCGACAGCCAAAACAGAATTCGGGTCATGAAACTCGTGGTTTTGAGGGCTTTGCGATCGAGTGAGAAAAAACAGAACTGTTGGTTTGCGAGCAGGAGGTGGGTGGGCTCGACTCGAACCCACATCGAACCGTCCAAGCCTGTCGCGTGGCGATCTCTATACAAGTATCAGGTACTTCGAAGTATAACACTAATAATTGGAGTTGTGTTCGTGTTGAAGTTCAGTCGACACTGTTCATTAGCAGTCCAATTTTGCACCATCAACCAAATACCGTCTCTTCCCCGAAGAGACGGTATTATTATAGGAAGAGTCTTCCCCAATTCAGAAAACGTGCCCCAACCTGAAGAAGTACAGAGTAGAATTACGTGGACAGTATCTGTTATTGAAACAGTGTACATAAACACCAACGGGGACTGACTCTACGTATCTGGGCAATTGCGTGTGTCATCCAGTGCTTACTGGCAAAATTTCTCTTGATTTGAGTCGTAAACAGCCATAACGAAACTGCCTATTCAGAAGATGGGTCACCAATGTTGACACGCCTACTGATGATGAGAGGTGGCCTTCTATTTGGTTGATTTACTTTATCCAACAAATTGTTGATTTACTAGAGGAATTCGGCTTGTAGTGTCGTATTTTGCGGGGTCAATACTTTTCGGGCCAATACCCTCAAAGGTAGTGTCCTGCTTCGGTATAGTCGTGAATCCTCCCCGATATATGCTCGGAGAGATCAAATATTAAAGAGCAAAAATAAGTAATATCCGAGGATAGTGGACAAAAGCCGTGTGGATTGGCGAGAAAAGAGTAATAATATGTTGTCGATACCACGCCGGCAGTTACTATTGTCTTATTGACTATCCCC